AACCAAAGTCTTTCTGTTTTGTTTTTTTATTATGTTTTTTGTTTCGTTTTGTTCTTATGTTTTTCGCTTTGTTTTGTTTTTGTCTTTTCAAAAAGCAAGGAAACAACATCATAGGATGGTAAAAGAAAAACGGCACTAGACAGGAAAGATGCGCTTAACATATCGGCTTAACGTCTCATGATTAAAAAGGTCGTTCATCATTCAGTTAGTTACCGTGTCTTCTTGAAATAATGGTGGACTTCCCTTAACGACATCAATTATTTGTACACGCTGATGTAGACCACAAACGGTTTTTAAAATACTTATCTAATACACAAGAATGGAGCACAGAAAACCGATTCTTTACATACAGACAATCTTGAAAAAGATTGTAAAAGTAGTTTCATTTCAGTTTGAATGCATTTTTGTTTTTGTTTTTGTAACGTCTTTGTGTTCCMTGAAGATGACCGCTTAGGTCGAAAGCTTGGAAAGAAGTTTAAAATTATTCATGGTTGATTAATCAAACTACGTATAAATATAAAAAAAATCTTGAAAAGGTTGTCCAATTAAAAATTTCCATTGTTCCCATTGTCATGTGACCTATGAAAATATTCACTGTCCGTTCTCGTAAAGTAGTCTAGAATATAAGGTGTCTTAAAGGAGAAATGTCAAGGCATTTTTACAAATCCATGTGGACATTAGAAAATGTTTCTCGTTCAGAAACTGAATATATATAGATGTGACAAGTGGAACAGTAAAAATGTGCTTTTAGCGGACAACCTTTTCAACTTCGGCTGTTTCCATCTCGCTGCCTGATTTCAAGTTATTGTGATCGTTACTAAATCTATTTTAGATGATATGTTTTAATTTGGACTATACTGTCAAGTGTAATCAACTGCCAAGCTGTAGGTGAGGTGCTTCATACTACACTGATTTTGAATTATAAGAAGAAATTGATTATGTTTAATAGTTTTGCTCAATCGTGAAAAAAGAATAAGAGACGAATAAGCTCGTCAATATTGTCCACTTTTAGTGCTTTTCCATAGACCTTTAGTGTTTCACTTAGCTACAATAAATCGTGTTTTTAATCTTTAGTCTTAAGCCATGTGATTACTGTAGATTAGAGTCGAAGTCAGAGTTCGAATATTCAGTATATTAGACTTTACTTGAAACAGGTGATCAGAAATGCAAAACCAAGTCACAAGCCATAATTGAAAAAAAGATAAGCGAGAAATCTATTGAGTAGTAACTCTCAACTATCTGTCATTGAGGTCAATGGAACTATCCATTTATACTCCCTCGAGTTAGTTTTGTCACGATCGAATTATTTTTCACATATTCATCAGTTTCAAAGAAGTGTGTGTATATATGTAAAGCGAGAAATCATCGAAACATGGTTTGTCACTTGCGTGGGGAGAGGGGGGGACTTGACCACCCCCCTCCCCCCCGAAAATTTCAATTCTCGCTGCACACCTGAGGTTTGTTAATTTCTTTTTCAAAAAAAAAACTCAGTGTTGTACTAATATAGATTAGAAAATGCACGAACGAAAGTTACGGTGGGTTATGATTACTCATTTAAKACAGTCAACACTGTTGTTTCTACCAGAATTTGTTTGGTTTGTCCGTGTTAWTCGTCAAATTAGTGACCGTCGCCCTTAAATACTGAATACCCACAATAACCTTCGGTCGTGATTTACCTCACCGACAACTTTTAATGAAATCCCTGCTGATAACGTGTCTGCGACAATCTAGAAATGACTCAGTTTAATTAATTTACTATTGTACAAATTTGTATTAATTAAATATCTCTGTAAGAAAATATGTATCTCGTAATGTGTCTTTGTCGGGTATTGATTGTCACTATACAACGTGTACAGTGAACCTTCAKTCTATTTAAGCGTTGCTTTGGTGATGAAATACAACACTACTTCGCTACAAAAAAAMCATTTTGAGGGCGGGTGTGCTCGCAATTTACAGTGTTAAACATCACGACGAGATTCGTAGATAGAAAGTCCTTTACGCCGTAAAAAAGGTCGTTATAATTAAATAAGACATCATCTAGACCACGTGTGTATGTGTTGTAGCCTTTTTCGATTTGAACGCTATTTTTCAATGCTGTTAGTTAAAATTATTGACGAAAAACATTCAACAACCACTAACTGACATTCTTTTTCTATAACAATTTAGTTTTCAAAATATGCTTCAAATACCACAAGAAAGGCAAAGTGAGCGTTTCATTGTCTTTATTAAGGACATCAACGCCTACATTATGACGTTTGTTCAGCTACTTCGACGATAATTTCACAACAACACCTTGGATTTGTAAGTCTTTCAGTGACATCTTCATTTGATCTTAAAAAGTGCAAAAGAGATTGAAAACGTCAATATGCACAATTGAGGCGTGAACATTGACTTAATTATTTTAAAAAGTATCCATGCAATTAAATTGATGTAAATTGGATAAAAGTCGTCGTTAATAAAATTATAAATTGTGAGTAGGTTAAAGTCATCGTCAAGAAAGTTCGGCACTGGTTGGATGTTATCGACATGGCGTCTAATTAACAGAAAGTGCGTCAGCCAGTTTTGTTTGAAAAGAAAACCCGTTTCAAAGTCTCTAAACGAGAATCTTGATAAAATTTCAAAAACGAGTACATTTTATCGTTAAAAAGAGTAAAAATTTCAAGAGTCGCGCGCATCAATGTCAACAGCCTTCATTTTTTCACCTAGAATTCCATTATTGCCATAAGACGTTCAGGTAAAGAATCCATGACATATTTTGACAATGAACTGAAGATTCGGTCTTTTGTGATTTCTTTGAAGTTGAATCTTTATAAACAGAACCCTGATTGTTCTGGAATAAATCTCATTAAAAAAGAATAAGCGGAAAATGGTATTTTTATTGGTAATTATCTATCAACTAGCTTGTTGGAAGAATCAAAATGAAAAATTCTGTATTTTCACGGTGTGCAGTTGCCTGTTGAAGACCAMTTCATATATACAAGAACAAACTAAGCGGTCGCCTCCTAAAATCGCAATTTGATTTGTGTTTTGGAGATAAAATCCTAAAATACGGATAAGACACAGCATAACAAATGAAGACAATTATCAAAGAATATCGATCAGGCTAACTATAATTGCGAGTTTTTGGCGCACATGTTTAAGTAGCTGGCTTAGTATGGCAGCGTTATGGCTGAATATTGCTTAAGTATTTACGTTTTCTTGTAAGGGATTTGATTGAATATTGTGTAGGTTTGAATATTTTTTTCCTATTTAAGATCGATTGTTAAGGGAAGAACCTTGAGCTACAATATTTGGTTGTATTTGTTCCGGCTCATGTACACTGTAAATCAACGACTGACTCATGTTGCTAAGCATTTTTGAACTAAGAGTTGTGTATATACAAAGGCGAGAAACCAAAAAACCGTTCAATCCAATTTCAATCCAACAATGAACTTTTCAAACAAGATAACAAATTAATTGTATGAATGTGATTTTTGTGTTCTGTGGGAGAACCGCCAGTGTTTTCTGATCAAAGCGTACGTAAAGCACTATTGTCTTAAGTCGCTTTGTAAATATAATCTGATTTTTGAGGATCGAGAAATTATTTGAAAAGAAGTAGAAAACGATTATCATGTGGCTTAAACTCTGTGAATGATTGAAACGTTCTCTTTATAGAGGGTTTGTCTAGAATATATTTTAATGAAATCAAGGGAGTTCCTCACTAAGCAAATATGTATTTGAATGTTGTTATGCGAACGATGAAATTAATCTCTGAATATTGCAGGGATTAGATTTAGCAAGTGATCGAAGTGTGCTTAAGGATCGAAAAAAATTGCACTTAAACGCACACGAAAAAAACATGTCAAAACCACGCAACTTAACGACAAAAACATCAATGCGTGGAAATCAAGGCCCCGTCCCGTCCCCGTACATCATTTAAAAAAGCCTATATTGAGAGCTGTTTTGAAAAAAATGGAAATGAGTTTTTAATACCGAGTCTAGTGTACTATGTGCTTTAATTCGATTTTTTCCCTGTATATATAATTTCAGTGTTTACTATTCTATTTTTCAATTTAAATTTCCCTGATAATATTCGAGAATCGAGTAAAGAATTGGCCTTTTAAATATTTTATAACGTTAACTTGAGATTCTAACTTTTTCCCGAAAAATCGATGTGAAATGATGGATTCCTAACGCGAACGTGTGTGTATCGAGCTAATTTGATAGATAACGTCTACTGCAGAAGCTTTGCTGTGTTCACTATTTCCTCTAAATCGATTGAGGCACATTTTTTTATAGGTCGTTGTGCCCAATCTCTCACTTCATTTCAAAATGAGCTAACGCAACGAGTGCCAGTCAAGACATCTGCTTGCCTTCAATAATAGCGCGTCAATATTTTGAATCATTTTAGGCAAATTTCATTTTTCTTTCTCTGTGTACTCCTTCTTAATCATCGCCTTTCTTTCTTGTCAATTAAATATATATTGCTCATTAGCCACGAGCTGAGTTCGAAAATCTTCGTAAAGAAGTACTTTTCGTGGATTTTTTGTATTTAAAACTGATTATATGCAAGATCTGAAAGCCTACGGAAAGCAAAGATAATAAATTTCCTCTCGGAGCGGAAATCTTGCCCTTCATCATGATTGATTTCACCATATTTGGGGTTCTCACTAACAATGAACTAAAAACCGACTAGCAAATTCACTAGTGGACTCAGTTCAGAAATTTTCAATCCAAACCTATGGCGTGCGGTGCAAAATGATTCATTGCCTTCTCAAACAGCAAACGAAATTTGTCAAGTCGCTGTTTTGTATGTACGAGGTGATGATATATAGACAATTAAATGTGTTTGTGCGCGCGCGAAAACAACAAAGACCGCGGGAATATTTCAAATGTAACACAACAATAGAGAATAATCAGCTCATTCTTATATGGATCTTTAGTATTATTGGCATATGTGACGTCACACGCTTATCAGCCAACAATTGTTGTGAGTGCCTGCCTCCGGTAAAACATTGTAACTTGCATATAAGGCATTGGCAGTAAGCGGTCAAGGACCTTGCAAACACCACAATCAGACCAGGACTTCCATACACTGACCGTTAACAGAACATGGGGGTATTTTTCCTGAATTTCCTTAGGGCTTTGAAAGGGCCAACGAAAAACTTACTTCTTAGAACGACACTTTTTTTCGTATATCTTCTTTTCGGTGCCGCAGTATTTCAAACCATTGAATCCGGCGAAGAAAGAAGGGAAAAGCATCATTTTGATATAGTTCGACAAAACCTCAAGGAAAAGTACAACATCTCTGAGAAGGAAATGGCAAATTTGTTTATGGAAATTTCCAAGGCAGTCGATGAGGGCTACTTTGACGTGAATTACGATCGCTGGAGTTTCGCTGGTTCGCTTTTTTTCACCGGAACAGTTGTCACAACAATTGGTGAGTTTAACAAAGTTATATTTTCTTCGATTTAGGTCGATATATATAAAAACGAATGTTAAAGAAAGTTATCCTTGAATGAATAAAATGTATTGAGTTTTTAGTAAATATCTGGACTAAAAGTGAGTATATTTATTCTAAAATCTGTTTTTTTCGACAATCAAGTACACACAACAGCATTGTCGCTCACGATTTATAAAGGCTTTAAATACATTCAACATTCAAGCTTATAGAATTTGATTCGGTTTTGACAGGTTAGCTTTTGTACATTTATTACACGTTTCTAACGATGACCGAACAGAGCTTATTTGTATTCAATAACCAAACAAAATTAACGATGTAAAAACTACAACGAGAAGAGATTTTAAATTGACACGTCTTCAAGACGTTTCAGATTCCTCAAAGTTGTACAGAAAGATCGACGAGTTTCGAGGGTTTTTATTCGAATTGTTTATTGAGGATCGCGACATGAATATTCATTGACTTTCTTGACAAAAGCGTGGGTTGAAGCAAAGACTTTGAAAGGATTTGATCGATGACCTCCGTGTTGTTCCCATCTTCATTAAATAGACACTCAAATTCTGAACGATACTTCTAAAAGAGATGTATGACCAAGTATTTCAATCAACACAACTCGAATATCGAGAGTACAATGAAACTGTCTGTTTTCTTTTTCGTAAAACACCCAAATCCCGCTGGGAACGACCTACATTATGCAAAAATCTCAATCAATACATTATGAACATCCAAACAATAGAATGGAACATGTGCCGGTTCATATATTTGCTGAGTGTCAATCTTGGCGTACACAGAGACAAAAACTACAAACCAACATTTGTTTGTTTCTTTGGGAATATGGATAGGGAGTTCTAACTGATTTTTTGATTCAAAATATTGGTTTGATTGGAATCAGTGCGGTCAAAACTATTCAGATCTGACCGCCTTCCTGTGTTCATTACACTATTTCTAGGATTCAAGAAACAATAAATGAACAACATCAGTTTGTCATGCCAACAGCTAACTGTACATTGTACAATAAAGATACATTTATCACCTGACCGGTATTGTATGCAAGAAACAGATTTGAACACAGCAGTTTCAGTGCGTATTCAATATTCCACCTCCTTCTTCTTTTCAATGTGGTAAATCCCCTTTTGTCCTAAAAAATCAAATATGTTTAACGCGTACAAAATAATGCTTAGCTGTAAAGCTTTCAATTATCAAAGACACAAAAAGACTTCTTTCAAGCAATAACATTCCTATTGTGTTTTTTATATATATATAAATTTTGAAAATCATTGTAAGACATTAATTAAAGAATATATACTCAACTATATGCATGAAATGTTTTAAGGACGCTTTTTTTTGCTTCATGATTTATGTGGTTTCTATTGTACAAAAAAAAAACGTTTTTGATAAAGATTTGCATGCAAAAAATAAAAATGTAAAGTACAATGGCTAGAGAGCTTTAGGATCACTAATCCTTCCACCGATGAGACTCGTCGGCAGTGATCCTAAAAAAGTCAAGACGTTTCAAATACAATCGAATCAAGTTCATTTTGCATTCAATTTAAATCTCTGTAGAGTTATTGAATCATAAACTCGTAGTTTCTAAGAATGGCTTCAATTAAATGGAAGCTTTAAGAGGTGAGAGTGTTTTTTTGCTTTGTTTCCTTAAACCTTTTCCGGTGCACTTCGTCATTTTAGGCCTAAGACGTCAGCAGCGTATTTTCCTGATTTCTAAGGATATTTTACCACAAACTAAAACAGAAATTGTTTGTTCTTTGTTGTCAATATACAAAGACCTTAACAATTAAATTATTATACAAAGAAACTTATAAAAGGTAAATTTCGGCTGCGCTAACTTCATGGTTTGTTCAAAACCTCGTCATAGGCATTGCATGACAATGTAAGTACATACGCACCCATCCAACAATAACTCTAGCGTTCGTTTGCGATTTGAAATTATTTAGAAACTAATTCAAAAGTTCTATTTCCGTCATTAGCTTGAACGCAAAGAAAAAAGATATTTGTTTATATTTAAAAAAATAATATTTTCAAAGTCATATCGATCAAAATCTTGGTTTTTTTCGATTAGCGTTCGCGTGGGTCTCAGTGCTAAAGAATGAGCATAGGATGGTGACAATTTTCCGCTCACAATATAAAGAAACAGATCAAAATAGCATTTCCGACGCGCACCGCTTCCCAGCTGGTCCTTCTCCCAGTGGACACCAACAATATCGTAAATTGTTTACGAATTTTATTTTATTTTTTCTCCACTTGAAAATTCGACAAAAATGGCAGTCTTCGATCCCGGATTCGTTTTGCTATTTGCTTGCTCRGGCGGAGGCAAACTTTGCTTTTTTTCCTTTCCCTTCAATTTGCCATGTGCTCTTGAAGTGAATGAAAATTAGAAAGCAAACAAACTTCTCAACGGAAACACACTGAAATCACCTTTTTGAATCCTTTTTAGATGAGAGCGAATGGAAGTTTACACCCGACATACATATACTACTAGCTGTAATTTCAAGAAACAAATGTTGTGGTTGAAATCAGAACAATATCCATAAAAATGTCACAATAATAACGCAAGACAGACGCTTGCGATATTTGAGAAAAATTCAATGGTTTTGGTCCGGATACAACTGACAGTCCATTCAATGAAACGCGAGTCGTGCCTGAAAAAAGAAAAAAAAAAAAGATTTGGATTCCGCTGTGCTGAATTAAGAATCAAACTTTCAATTTTCAAAATAAAGTTATTAGCAAGCATTTAGAATCTCAGTAAGTCATAAAAGAGAAAAATAACAATAACGGCCTATTTTTAAATTGAAGCAAAGTCTTGAATGTGCGTTGAAAAACTTATGTAACKGGAAAAATATCGAAGAAAGTAAAGGAGAGTTTTAGACGCTAAAAATGTATTATATTTTCGTTGATGGGGACTTTAACCGCTGCGGTCTGCCTCATTATTTATTACGTCTCGTTATTTTATTCCATCGAATATGTATTTCGCTTTTGACAAACGCGCTTCAATATTGTGACAACTCGTAAGGTATAAGCCTTTTAATGATAAGCAAAAGCTATCAAACAAGACTTCGATCATTTTTGAATCCATAACGTATACATAAACATTTTACGTTGTATTTGATGATGTGAATAATACTGATATGGAGACTCTTTTCTTGAAGACAGTAATTCACTTCTTGACGTCGCCTTCGGGCATTATTGGCCGAAGTCTAATAAATTCGAATTTTACTTTTTTTCAAATTTTGATTCAAAGAAAAACCTTTCTCATTTAGTGAATAAGTATGAAGCCTCTACTATTTTTATAGAATGTTATTGATTGAAACAATAAAAATGTCTCTCTTCAAGTAATGTCCACAATAGCGCAATTTCAAGCAGCACGATGCTAGGAATATTTCGTGGTCATTGTGGTTTCTTGATAGCGGTATGAGAAAGTCTGGCTAGACAGGCGCATTTTTCTGCTAAAGTGGTGCATGAAGACAAACAAAAAATCCAACTTAAACAGATTGATTTGTAATGTTAGTGTCGAACACGGCTTTCTAATGTTCCACAATACATGTGGATCAAAACGGCTTTAATGAATCGTTATATTTTTTGTGGCAATTCAATTTGATCGCCTATTTCCTTGGTCCCGTCTTGACATCTAAAAACTAATACCTTGTCTAACCACGACACCAAACATTCACGACATACTGAATCTAACTATTATAAGTCAAACTTATGCATCCTTTTCAAGTGGGTTGTCTGACAGAACGGCAAATGGATAATTAAAGAAAAATCAGCTTTGGCATCGATAGGAATTATGATGATTATTGGGTATATATTCAATAAAATTCAATCTCATTTGTCCTCCTTGAGATGGGGGATTATTTGGTCATCCTTTTCAATAAAACAATTTCCATTCGCTATTCTTTCCGACATTTTTTGTAATTTTTTGACATAGCTGTACATTTTCCAAAAAGTCTACGTAATGTTTTCATGCGATCGACTACTATTCACGGGGTGTTATGATGTCTTTATTTAAAATGATGCTGAAAACTCGTTTTGTTGCCCATTCCAAACCTGTGATTGAAACAATATGATCTCTAAGGAGCGACAAAGGTAACGAGGAAAACGAGGAAGTAAATCAGTACACAACACAATTAGTGCGCGTGTATAAATTAACAGTAATGAAACGTATTCTTCAGAACTATCGCGTGAAAACTTCGACTATCTCCAATTTGTAAATAAAAGTATATGGTCTGTATAAGCTTCCGACTTTGAGGCTGAATGATATACACGCTAAACTAGGATATGAAATAGCATAGCTGATTGTTAATGATAGCAAGATTTAACTCCATCCTCGTCCTCAATTACTGCTTAATAAAGATTCCTATATTTAATGACGAACCCTTGCAAATCAGTCACTTCTGTAACAGTACAGTTATCTTTAGATTACATTTTGTCTTTTCTTCAAGARTTTGCCCCGGCTAAATTTAGGCCGGCTAAATTGCAGTACAATATCAATGGAAACCAAGAAGGATGTTGATAGCCTAATAAGTCTTTGTTTTACTCAAACATCGCTATGCCAATTATCGAAAAATACCAAAATGCAATAGAACTGTCGTATTTAATGSGTATCTATCAGTTTTTATTGACTTACAACTAAATTAGTTTGCTGATACGAATGAACCATTTTGTCATTACTGTRGTTCGTACATGTAAGTTTGTGCTATCTGATTGGTTAATGAGTCATTTGTAACCAGTTGCTAGCACGTTCTCGTTACAATTTTMCACAAAGCGGCAAAKAATTTTTTCTGGCGATAAACAAGTAAATCTTGGTGGTATGAAAATACAGCTATTGCTGAGAATGTTGAATACTGTCCAAGACCGCAGTGCATTGTTGCGCTTAAAACCCAAGCGAGGCAAAATTGGCCAACATGTCTGGCAGTCCTCAAATGAACAACAGTGCCAAGGTCATATCAAAATCTTACGTTGGT